TACTCTTATAAAGAGGACAGAAATAAGGAGCTGTCCTAATTCCCTTTCCATCTACCCTTATTCTTTACCTGCCCTTATTCTTCACTTGCAATGACAAATTCTGTGTGGCACCTGTAACATACCAAGGTCTATGTTGTGTATTGAGTATACAAAGAGACACTGGGAAACACAGACATTGAATAAGTACTTTAGTGATGAGTTTTAGGACCAGGAGGAGTAGGATGAATATATGGCAGGAAGATTTGTTGGTGCTTGGGGTGGTCACACAGAGCTGCCCTGGCCACTGTCTTAGGTAGGGATCCTTGCTTGGAGGGTATTCTCAAAGCCCAAAGTATTCTCCCATTCTATGGTCATTCATGGTCAAAGTTCTGGGAAACCCCCTGAAGGCTTTCTGCCTTTGGGCTTTTCTCCATTGTGGATGTTCTTGCTCTGTGGAATGAATGGGTAGCTGAGAAGAGGAGGCAATGAAAATAAATAAATATCAAACTTCTGGGGGCACAGGAACCTTTCACGTCAAGTGTAGCTGCAGGAAGATAGCAGTATATCAGAAAGGCCGAGTGACCAAGGTTGGAGTGACCCTCTCCTTAATAGGAAGCCCATGACAAGTCTCTTTTCGGGACTGAGTCTCCAGCTCATCTACTCCACACAATGTGGCCAGTAATGTTATTGGTCTGAAGAGGGACTCTTGGCTATAGCTTTAGCATTCTGAATGCATCCAATCTCAATCTGAAAAAGGGCTCTCGCACATTTTCATTTCAGGGTCTGTGTGCTTATATCATTGAGGCAGGTAGTAGATGTATATGCTAATTATGTATAGATTGTATGCAGAATTGCCACGTGGGAATACATCCCCTGGGCTCATTCTCTAGTCCCACACAGATGGCACGGCCATCAGCCTGACTTGCACTGTATTTCTCACTACATCTCTGTTTCATTGGAGAACTTGTGGGGAAGGACTGTGAGAAGAGACCCTGGGCAGGCACTCTGGTGTCCACCAGACAATACCATTCTGTGTCACAGATGGCCATACACAGAGTAGAGGGGACCTAAGCATGCAGGAATGAGGAATACCATAAGGCATCTGAGTCAAATCAACACATATTTTGAGCACCTCCTACTTACAAGGGACCATTCTAACCATGAACAAAAGAGCTCTTAAATTCCAGCAGGAGATCATTTTATTCAGACCCCTCCTTTAACAGGGAGGGGAAATGAGGCCCCGGTGCATGAAGAGGATGCTATGACTTGTTCCAGGCAAGGTTACGTGGCAAGCCCAGCCTAGATCTCTGGCGCCAAAGCACTGGTTCTGGGCTTACGTAGTATTGGGGGTACTTCCCTCACAGCCCCCTGAAATGTGACTACTGTTGAGTGCTTTATTTTCATACAGAAATAAATCCCCCGGTCACCACTCTACACCCCCACCCGTATTGAAGCTCAGCGAGTTTCTTTCGCCACTTACACCCCAGGTAAATATTTCCCTCCGAACTTCTGAAGCCACGGCTTCAAGGTTCTCATTTTCCTTAATGTGTTTCCTCTTGGTTCCACTGAAAGCCCGTTCTCTCTGCCTCCTGGGGTGAAGCCACCCCTCACTCAGCTCTGTGTGGCGGAATCTGCCTTTTCTCATGTCTTCTTCTTTCTCTCTCAATTGCAAACAGAGGTGGCCCGAGATCAGGTCCTATGTCCCGGGAAGGTTCTGAACTGAGGGCACCCTACAGATGTGTAAACATTTTACCTTACTAACCAGGCTCACCGCCTTCCAAGGGCAACAGGAAAAGGAGGGACTGGGAGCCTCTGGCAAAATAAAAAACCTGCAGAGAGGGAGAAGGAAAAAAAGAGAGGGGGAAAAGGGATCCTGTTTCAGATTTTTAATTTTCTCATTAGAAGACCCTCATTTTCTTTTTCTGCAGGAAGGGGCGAGCTGGAGGAGGGAGAAAAGATGAGCTAAGAGGTGGGGGAGAGGCGTGAATATGGTGGCTCCAGGAATTAGAGCTCTGGTTGGTTCGCCTAGTGGATGGCAACATGTAGATCTGAGGCAACTCACTTCAAATTCAGAGTCAGATCTTTGGCTCTGGAGGGAATCCATAGGGAGGCAGCTTTTAATATGCAATCCCCTGATATCGTGTAAGCTGACAGGGATCCACGATTTCTAAGTAGTGTAAGCCGTTGGCTTTGAGCAGGATTTGAGTTTGTTCAAGCCTTCATTCTGCAAGCTCTTGTTGCATCAGGCAAGATATCTTCGGGATGCCCTTTTTGTCCCTCTCAACAGCCTTTTTGTATTTTGTTCCCAGTCATTTCCTACTTTTCATCTTCCACATCTCTCCTGAGCCCTCCAGCACCTTAAGCAGGAACTCTCGTTTGGACAGACACCATATGCTGAGGATGCTATATCCGCTGGGCTGCGTCTTTTAAGTATGACAGCAGGTTAAAGACAGATACAGATGAAGGAAGGAAGGAAGGCCCACAGAGGGGAAGTCATTTTGCCCCAGGCACATGGCTAGTAATTGCCTTGGGGATTCAAAGTAGATTACCCTGAGTCCAAAGATCCGGTTCTTTCTACTCGGGAACACATGCTGTCCTCTGATTCTCTGTGTCCTTTAGTCACAGAGACATAAATAAGTGCCTCAAATTCTGCTTCTTCTTAAAAATCCCTACATTTTCTCTTCTCCTGCTCTATTTAGAATCATTCAAGATGCCGGGCAGGTCACCCACATGACCCAGGCCGAGTCAGTGCTCTCAAAAAGCAAACAGCCTAGCAGAGAGGAGATGACTGAGAGGTTTTAGTGTGGATGAGTGTCGAGTTGCCTAAAATCAGAGAGCACTTGGAAGAGGTGCCTTGCGTGTGAGTCATAGAAAAATATCGAATAAAGAAAATCAAACTGACCTGGAATGTGATAAGGAACTTCATTCAGTTCCTTCCTTTACCAGATGAAGAACCAAGACCTAGAGGAGGTGCTTGGTGCTTCATCAAGGTTGCCCTGACTTTACCAGCAGGATGGTTTTGTATGAAGACTCGGAAAGACTTTGGGGCAGGGAGGGGGAGGACAACTGTAGGTGGGCTTAGATGCTGAGCCAAGATTGCTGGCCATGTCAGCTGTTAACAGAGAAATTTACACAAATTCCAAGTTCTCAGCGCCCACAAAGGAATGAAGATTGTATGGGCCTCCTTCGCTGGTTTTGCTGGAAGCTCTCTATGCTTATTTGATGAGCGGCAGTGGCAGGTGCACACTCAGAGTTAGGGTGACCGCGATGATTCTCCAGCTGAGAGTAGTCACTGTCCTTCTAAATGAGCATCTTTTATTCACTCTCATCTCCCTCTCTTTCTCCTCACACCTGGCCTCATACATCAGCTGAAACTTTAAATACACTCTTAATTAGTAAGTTCTCTTCCCCATTCAACAGCTTTGTCTGTGCCAAGGACACTGGGTATACTCCAGACAGGCCGAGGTTGGTGAGTGTAAAGATAATTAGACCCAGAGAGAATCCACTGAGCTACTTCCTGGAATTCCCAGAGTAAGTCTAGAGATGCCTGGCTTGGAATGTCCCCAAATATTGAACTAAGACTTGTGACATACCCCAGGTAGATGGTGTGGCTCAGATCCCTGAGGACATTGGTGAGGCAGAGGAAGATGGCCTTGAACCTGTCTTTGTGCCTCCTTTAATTTCCACATCTTCCTTGGGTAAATAGGACACTAAATATCAGCACTGTAGGAGGATTACATGGATTGATGAAGTAGTGCACGTGTGGGCCTTAGCACAAGGCCTGGCCTGCCATGGAGAGTTTTGTTCATATTGTTAACTCTTATGTAGGCATCCCTGACATCTTTTTATGTTAAGAGGTTATGTTTATATATATAGGTGTTAGTGTTAGAGAGAGAAGCAGGCTGAATTGGGTCCCAGGAAGTTTGTCAATAACTCTGTGTAACCTGACAAATGCCTTCTCCTCTTCTCTGGGATCTAACTCCTCACCTGTTAAGTCAGACATCCTCAAACTACAGCCACATGCAACCTGCCTAGGACATTTATCCAACCTGCTGGATGTTTTTGCCCCTGCTGTCTATCCTGCTTAGTAGCCGACTCATCCTGGGGCCTGCAGTCCGGCCCCCAATGGTCTGAGGGACAGTGAACTGTTTAAAAAGTTTGAGGACCCCTGTGTTAAGGGAAGGGGGTGGAGGATGTAGTCTGCAAAGGTCTCTTCTGTTTGGATTTGAAGTGTGTTTCTCTTCTTTGATGAGGAATGAGCAGAGAACTGTTTAAAAAGTTTGAGGACCCCTGTGTTAAGTGAAGGGGTGGAGGATATAATCTGTAAAGGTCTCTTCTGTTTGGACGGTAAGTGTGTTTCTCTTCTTTGATGGGGAATGACGAGACTAGCAAGACTTGGCTTAGAAACAGAAGCTCTGGCTTTGCAGCTCTTGCCCCTGACTTTTCTGGCCAACTTTCCCAATCGAGTAATACCTTGGATCATTTGATGAATGCTAAAGGCTGATGCACACTGCATAGTCAGGACTGCTCTTCTGAAGGAGCATCTTCTATTCATTATCATCTCCCCCTGTTTCTCCTCTCAGCTCATATATCATGCCACACTGCAAATGCTCTCTTCTGTACAAAGTCCTCTTCCCCATCCAACAGTTTTGCAAAACCAGCGGTTTTCAGATTTTTATTATTATTGCTACTGTTGTGGCATTTTCTTTAGGAGAAGCACCCAGTCTTCAAACAGAAATCGTTCTGGTATGCCTCATATTCAAAACCAATAAACATGAAATGAAAGTTGTGGTGAGAATGCCCCAAACCCAACTTACTCATCCTCTCAGCTCCTCTGACCCTCACCTTGCCCTTGGGGTAGTCCCAGAAGCACCATTAGTATCTGCCAGGATCTCACAGAGCACTTTGGAAACTATTAGTCTAGGACATCCTGATATAAATTTTATCAGAGAGAACAAAATGTACCTCCCCCTCTTCTTTCATCCTTTATTTATTCATCTTTCTCTTTTGGGGCCACATAGGGCTGTATGACAAATGTTCTTATACCTCGCGTGACCGAGGATGGGTCGTGGGCATTCACACCGTCAGTGACCAAGGCAACAGAGACCCACGCTACTTTTTCTCCTTGAAGACAGACCGGGCCCGGCAAGTGACCACGATCAATGCTCACCGCAGCTACCTCCCAGGCCAGTGGGTATACCTGGCTGCCACCTATGATGGGAAGCTAATGAAGCTCTATGTGAATGGTGCCCAGGTGGCAACCTCTGGGGAGCAAGTGGGTGGCATATTCAGCCCGTTGACCCAGAAGTGTAAAGTGCTCATGTTGGGGGGCAGTGCTCAGAATCACAACTACCGGGGCTACATCGAGCACTTCAGTCTGTGGAAGGTGGCCAGGAGTCAGCCCGAAATACTATCAGATATGGAAATTCATGGCCTCCACCCTCCTCTACCTCAGCTCCTCCTCCAGGAGAACTGGGACAATGTGAAGCGCACCTGGTCCCCAATGAAGGATGGCAGCAGTCCCCAAGTGGAACTTAGCAATGCCCATGGCTTTCTGCTGGACACGAGTCTGGAGCCCCCTTTGTGTGGGCAAACATTGTGTGATAACAAAGAGGTGATCACTAGCTACAACCAGCTCCCAAGTTTCCGCCGGCCCAAGGTGGTACGCTACCGCGTGGTCAACCTCTATGATGATAACCATGAGAACCCCACAGTGAGCCGCCAGCAGGTAGACTTCCAGCACCGGCAGCTGGCAGAAGCCTTTAAGCACTACAACATCTCCTGGGAACTGGAGGTGCTGGAGGTGAACAACTCCTCCCTGCGTCACCGCCTGATCCTGGCCAACTGTGACATCAGCAAGATTGGGGATGAGAACTGCGACCCCGAGTGCAATCACACACTGACTGGCCATGATGGTGGGGATTGCCGCCACCTCCGCCACCCAGCCTTCATGAAGAAACAGCAGAATGGGATATGTGACATGGACTGCAACTATGAACGGTTCAACTTTGATGGCGGAGAGTGCTGTGACCCTGACATCACCGACGTCACTAAGACGTGCTTTGATCCCGACTCTCCACACAGGTAAGACCTTCCTGGGCAGAACATGCCCAATTGAGAGCTGAACTTCGGGTCCCCCATTTTATAGATAAGACATCTGAGTGTTGCAGGAGTTTTCCAATTCACACAGCAGCTTCCCGACCAAGGCAAATCTCTTACTCAAGTCATCGTGGGGACCAAAGGCAAACAAAGCTCATTACAAAAATGTTTATTGAGTACCTACCATGGACTCTGAAGGAAGACAGAGCTCTGTCTTCTCGAAGAGCTTAAAGTTTAAATGGGGTGACATGAGCTGACTACAGATAGATAGCTGTCATATATAGCAGAGTGAGTGAGAGATGTTCCGTCCAATAAGGTGGTCCTTTATTTGACTGTTTAAATAGAAATCTGTTAAAATTAAGTAAGATGTTCAGTTCAATTCTAGAGTTGCTCTAAGCTCGTTTCAAGTGCTCTGGAGTTACATAGAGCAATGTCTGCCATACTGGACAGAACACTCTTAAGACACTTTCATCATCACAGAAGGTTTCTTTGGACAGTGTCAGGAGAGCTGGGGTCAGCTGGGTTCAGATCTTAGCTCTGCTATTCTCTCACTTTGGGACCTCTTTAATGCATTTCTTCATCTATAAAATGAGAAAAAAATTATAGTACCTACTTTGTCAAGTGGCTCTGAGGATTAATTGACAGAGGCCATGTGAGATTCGCTCTCTCTTACAGTACCTAACACATGACTAATTCTCAGTAAGTGTATTTATGGTTACTTTTCTAAGGAAAGGTAGTGTGTTGGGTTTAGAGACTGCCCTGGGAGATTAGAGGGAAAAAGTTGGCTTGCAGAGTTTGACTGTATTAGGGGAGCCTTTTCAGAGAGGGGTGGTATTTGGCCAACATCTTCAAGGATAGGTATAATTTGAGGTGGAAAAAAACAATTTAGAAATCTCATGAAAAGCAAGGTCAATGGAAGGGGTATAATAGAGAAAGTCTGGTGATATAATGTGATATCAGAACTACAGGTAAAAATAAAGCTACCATTTTCAGGATTCATGCTAGTAAGTTTTAGCTGATCTTGTTACCAAAAAAAAAAAAAAAAAGGGAGGAAATTGTGAGATGGCAGGTGTGCTAATTTGCTTTACTATAATAACCTTTTTGCTATCCTATGTGCCCCATAACATCATTTTCTATACCTTAACTGTATACAATAAATAAAGTTTACTTAAAAATAGGTATAATTTGAATACAAAGATTGGTTTGAAAGCGAAGGGAGGATACGCCAGGCAGAGGGACTTTATTCCTGTATCTCACTGGGAAGAGAGCAGTAACATGGTCTAATACCTCACTTAGCCTCTGCCATGGGCTGTCAACTCTAACCAGTAATCCCAAAGTGGAACCTAAAAGTGAACCCAAGGGAGACCTGAATTAGATGTAGGACCTGGACAAGGAACCAGTTTCAAGCCAGAGGGACAGTCAATATCTTGTTTTTCCCAGATTCACACTGAACTTTCCTATTCTGTCCAACACGCAGGACCCTGGACTTGCTGATGGCTCAAGCACATTTGCCAACCTCTGCAGGTTTTCTGCTGACTCCTCTCTTTGTCTCTCTCAAAAGAGCAAGGGCCTCCCGTGCACAGACAAAATACCTATGTGCAAAGGAATGATGATGCTGGCAGGAGAATGTCCTGCCTGGCAGCAAGTCAGAAAGCACGTCAGCTCAACCTCCTGGCACCAGGAGGGACCCTGGACTCTCACCTTGGCTCTGAGACTAGAGCAGCCCATGTGAGAAGAAGCCTTGGTGTATATGGCCAGTCCCTTTCAGGTCGGAGGGCACTGTCTTCTTTGCTCTCATTTGGGCCTTGCCAGAAACTGGCAGTGGAGTCAAGTCAGGAGCTAACATTTGCATTTGACTGATGGGGAAATGGAGGACACTTAGAGAGTGAAGCATCTTAGCCAAGTTCACAGGTGGAGAAAGGTATTTTACGAAATCACAAATGTACATTTTCTGCAATAGAGTAGTATGCTGTCTCCTAAACTAGGCCCCCAGGAGATACCTCTGCAGCCCTCCCCCAAGAAGAGTGGGCCTGGGGGAGAATGGGCAGAGCTGGAAGTCAAAGTCTTCCACTCATTTGTTCATCCATTCATTTGCTCAGTCATTCATTCATTCATACAACAAATGTTTATCAGCACGTTCCAGGTGCCAGCAAGGTGGGTTCCCTTATCCTTATTTTGTGAGAGGAATTTCAGGATTCAGAATGATGGAGAAACTGACTTAAGATCACCCCACTAATAAGCGGGTAAGCATCCAGGGCTGCTTACTCCAAAGCTGCCAGTGAAGGGGGATATTTTTAAATCTGAGGAAAGGTAAGAGGCAGATTAAAAGACAGGGGTGACAGGGAGGGTGACTTTACAGCAAGCTCTGGTAGAAAGCTGATGAAGATGACAGGGCAGGATGGTGGGCAGCCGGCCTCTGTGGAGAGCCGTGCTGGTGTGTAGGGGCTGTGGGGCCCCAGGTTCCAGATACCTCACAATCAGCAGACAGCACTGGCAGGCTCCAAAGGCCTCCTCTTTTCCAAGTCACGGGACTGCATGCCCAGAATGTCTGCGAGCGGCCATGTGCCAGCTGTGACTACTGTGACCGGGGCCTGTTTGTTTGCTGGCTGGGAAAGCTTTGTGCCCTGGGTGAGCCCCACCAGGCCATGTGTCGTCCCCCTGATGAGGCTGGAGGCTACTGGGTTCTGGCAGAATCAGCTCTCCTGGGTACAGAGAAACCTGTGAAAGGTTGAAGAGAAGTATTTAAAGTATTTGTGACTTTAAACAAAACAGGGAGGGGGAAGGAGAGAAGGGAGGGAGGCACCTGGAACAGAAGCAGTGAAAGTTAATGAGATCGAAATTATGTTGGCAATTTTTAATAAAAAACAAACTTAATTCTCCAGAATATGTTCTCTTTCTCCTTTCATCTCTATTTCTACCTGTGTCACTTTCTTTCTTAATAGTTTTAAAATCACTACTGCTCAATCTACTGTGAGAGCCCAGTTTTATTTCTTCCTATACATTAGAAACTAATACTTTTGTACAGACAAGAACAATGAATTGATATAAAACAAAATACCTCAAGAATGGTACAGCAGTGACAGAGAGGGTGACAGCACCAATTTCTATGTACTGATTTCTTTTTCTCTTTTTTGAGACAGAGTCTCACTTTGTCACCCTTGGTAGAGCGCCCTGGTGTCATAGCTCACAGCAACCTCAAACTCCTGGGCTTAAGTGATTCTTCTGCCTCAGCCACCCAAGCAGCTGGGACTACAGGCACCCGCCACAAAGCCCGGTTATTGTTTTTAGAGATGAAGTCTCACTCTGGCTCAGGCTGGTCTCGAACCTGTGAGCTCAGGCAATCCACCCACCTCAGCCTCCCAAGTGCTGGCATTACAGGTGATTCTTCATTTCTCTATTCACTGTCCCATAGACTAGTGGAAAGTAGTTTGTAGAACTGCCTGCTTTGAGTAGCACTGATTAAAATTTGTCATTCTGACGATTTCCCTTGAGTAAAATAAGACCCACCAGTAATGTAGCCGGGTAGAATGGCAGACTCCATCAAAGAAGTGCTATTTCTTTATAACACGTTTAAACACTTTTTAAAAAATCTAATAGTCCTTGGGCCCATTGGCTCATGTTCTCAGGAATGCAGTGTTATAAGAAAGCACCCAGTTCCAAGAGAGAGGTTGCAGAAGACATCAAAGTGGGTGTCAATTGTCAGATTTGAAAACGTCCTTAGAGATTGTGAGTCCAGTCCCCTTATTTCCCATAAAGGGAAACTGAGGCCAAAACTCACCCAGTCTGTTAGTGGTGATGCCTGAGGGAGGGAGGGGCTCCAGATTTCTGATCCCTGGTCATCTGCTGAGAGCCACTTTCTCAGCATCTCCCTAATATTCTTGTCAGCACAGACACCTGCTACCTCACATTCTGTCCTGGCTGTCTTCTTCCCATCTCTCTTGAGAGCTTGGGATTGTTAAGTGCTGAGTGAGGGTGTTTGCAAGGGCCTTGGATAGCAGACCTGAGTTTCCATGAGCCACTTTGGAATGGTTAGGGCTTTTCCTTATTAAGCTGCAGTGAAACTGAGGATGTTTCCTTGAAATCTGAAAATGTTGCATGGAATCCGATTGTCAGAGCTGAGAGGAGCAGGAGGGGGTCCAGCTGCAGAGAGTCCTCTTGCTGCAGATGAGACAACCACACTCTCAAGGAGGGGCAGGCAGTGACTGAAGCCACAGGATGACAGTGGGGCTGAGCTGAGACTGAGACCCAGGGTCTCTCCTCCGGCCGTCTGGCTACTGCAACTCTTCCCCACATTGGCTTGATGTCTTACAAGCCAGCAGTCTGGAACTTGGGAATGTTCTGTGTAGTATGGCTGGGTCCTTACCTATCATGTTTAGCCTGGAGGAGAAAATTCTCCCAGGGCCAAAATCACAAGGTCATGACAGGGGCACTTCAAGTCTCTGACCACCTGTCCTGTGGGAAGGATGATAGAATTACCACCCAGCCGTGGCTGGGACCACAGTGTTGCAGTTATAGGATGCAGCTTTGAGCTGGGCTGTAGATGACATCATCTCCAATGAGATTGGTCCTCCAGGGGAAGAGGTTTGTGTGAAGGTGAGTAGGCGCCCTGTCACCAGAGGTATGCAAATCAGCACTGACAAGGAGGCCATGGCTGAGATGACAGCACTAGCAGCAAGGGTGGCCTTGATGGCCTTGGGCTTGAGCAGTGCACAGTTCAATTTTGTCACTGCTATCTTATTCTGTATCATTGTAGGAAACCCAGTAGTGACTGTTGCTTTTTCTCTTTAGCAGGCATTTATGGGGTATATCTAGTCCCACCAGCTTCTCTGGTGTTCACTGAGGGTCTTGCCATGTGTTGAACATGTTCCTTACCATTACAGGGCTTCCACATTAATGGAGAAATCAGACACAAACATAAGAAAATCTGATCTGTGTATTGATAGGCACACAAGGGGACAGGGGACCTAAAAGCAGAGATTTATTCC